CAGTGATCTGAGAACTGTAGGTGCACCCTCATAAAACCTCCTGCTGGCCTTTTTTCACTTTTCCTATGTGTACACAATGTTCACACAAATTCCTGCAGGCGTTCCAATTCAGCCTCTATCATTCCCTCAGCCAGCATACACAAACTCATATCCCACAGTGGTTGGATCAATTAAAATGAGTTACATTGAATTTTAAACAACTTCAAAATAATTTGACCAACATTTTATTGACACCCTCTTGGGTTTCAGGATGTTGTAAATGTCCCTTTAAAAATTTAACTTGCAGTCCTGTAGTGCCAGGAGGCGGGCAGGGCTGGGTTCCTTATGTAATCTGATTGGCATTTTATGTGGGTGCAAATCAGTCACTGACTCCTTGCGGTCTATGTCTCACATATATCATGAAACACCTCATATTCTTTTGCTTGTCAGCTTGTCTGGCCGCAAGTAAGAGAAACACATGCTAAATCTTATTGAAGTCAGGTGATCGGCGTGATTGGTCAATATTGTTTAGACTTAAAAAACACATTGGTTGTGTGGCCAATGCTGAGGGTTATTGTCCTGCAGCGTGACTTCCTCCTCCTTAATGTCTGAGAGATGAGGCAGTGTGCCCTGAATTATGAGCTTTTTATCCCCCCATGCTTTTCACTTCAAGTTCAAGTTCAGGTAATTTATCATATGCACAACATTTAAAGGAAAGCAGTCGTCTCCGAAGCTGTCCCTGAACCTGGTGGCACCAAACTGGATGCTGTTGTACCATCTGTGTCTGGTGATTGGGGTCTTTGATAATATTTTCAACTTCAACTTCTACACCCTGCTCCGCTGGGTGTAGAAGACCTTCATGGATGGCAGTTCCACCCTAATGTGCTGGGCAGTTTTCATCACCTTATGTCATGCCTTAGGGTAGAGGGTGGTGCAACTGCCACACCAGGTGGTGAGGCAGCCTGTCATGATACTCTCGATGGTGCATCTATAGAAGATGCAGAGTATCCTGGAGTACATGTTGACTGTCCTCAGCCTGGGGAGGAAGAAGAGCTGTTGTCTTGCAATCTCGGTGATGACTGCAAGACATCTTATTTGAACCCAGAGGAACCTGAAACTGGTGACTCTCTCCACTGTAGTCCTGTGATGGAGATGAGGGCATGTCCTTCTCCCTCTTGCTTCCCACAGCACACAATTAGCTCCTTAGCTTTGTTGATGTTGAGATGAATGTTGTTGTCCTGGCACCAAGATGTCAAGGCTCTGATCTCGTCTCTGTAGGATGTCTGGCTGCTTGAGCTGTTTTGGAGCTGCCTGTGTGGCCATGCAATCATCATACTGAAACAAGATGATCTTTGTCTCATCTGTCCAAAAACCTGTGAAATTGTTTTTGTATTATTTACAGGGGTCTTGTGAAATTTTGCTGGTGTTTTTGGCACACCTCTGCCTGCATCCTGGAGTGTTCTTCATCTGTGGGACAGGTAGTCCAATTCCGCTGTCCACTATGCCAGTCCTCTGTGAGCTACCAGGTCCTTGTCAAGTGATGATTTCATATTCCTGAACCGAAGAATTCAACACAGATGATCATTTTGGCTGACTGATGAATTAAGATTGTTCGGCCTCACAATGGAAAGTTTCACTGGCATTGACTCTTATTTTGTCAAAAGCTGTTGAAAGGCAACATCTGAATCCAAAGGCAAAACACCCCAGGATCAACTGCAGACCTTTGTGCAGATTAGTGTAATGATGAAGAGAAACTTCAGCAGGAACTCATACAACTATATTTGGGAATCTTATGGATGAAAAGAAAGAAAGAAAGAAAGAAAGAAAGAAAGAAAGAAAGAAAGAAATAGGCCTATAGTCACTCCCCTGAGCCTGTGTCCTTGTTCCCAAAATAATGATAAAGATTTGTAGAGACTCTGGCTTTCTGTAAAGTCTAATTGTAGTCATTAGTCACTGAAAAAACTTTTAGACAATCACACTAAAAGTCAACAGCCATTTACTATAAAAACAGGCCCAGCCCCCAGAGACCTCTAATAAACTACAGATTTTCCTGCCACAGTATATCAATTACATTTTATTTTTTTATGACACCATTTAAAAGCAAAATTAACTTATACTGTATATTCCCACAGTTAAGAAAACAATGTGCACAATACTAAAACAGAAATGCAAGTAAAAAAATTAACCATAACTGCTTAAACATCATCTGACCATGATTAATGAGAAACTTGAAACACTTTGCATATAGCCTATAGCTCTCCCTAAAAACAAACAAAGTAATATTGCAGATGGACTGTTGAGGGAAATCAATCCTTTTGGCAGCAGCACTGTGTCAATGGCCTTGGGGCGATTTTGTCCAGATCAGAAGGGTTACAAACCTCAAAACCATAACTGCCGGAAAGTAATAATAGATCGACCCTGTAACCTTGGAAACTGTTCCATGAGTTTATCCTCAGAAATGATGAGAGCCTTTACATGTTCTCAAAACAGTTCCTCTGGGTCACTGTAGCACTGACCCTTCAGTCTCCACTGTCCAGGCATGTTAGGTAAAAGTACCTTCATTAAGGAACTTGAGAGGCAGCCCCTCATCTTTACCTTAGGGGCAAGCTGTAATTATTCCCAAACTGACTCTTCTATAACAGACAGGTGCTCATTTATAGGTGTTTGCATAACCCCATTTTCCACATTCCCATTTTGGAGCATCTGTGATTACAGATGTGAGGTGTGTTTGTGCATGTGCTGCGTGCACCTGTGCTTTTAATTCTCTGTTGATGCAGTGAAATGGATAGAGTCCTATCTCACTATAAGAAGACAATGTACTAGAGTTGGGAACAGGACCTCGTTGTTTATTGATTGCTCTGTTGGTGTTCCACAAGGCTCAATCTTGGGACCTCTTTTGTTTAGTCCATATATTAATGATCTGCCACCCCTGAAGTAAAAAACCCAAATGTACACAAATGACATGGTCATCCTCGCACATGGGAAAGACAGATGTGAAATGGCAGTTAAATTAACAGCAGCAATAGCCAAAATTTCCAGCTGACTGTCTGAGTGTGGCCTGACCTACATGTAGGTAAAACTGCTTGGATGTATTTTTATATTAGGAAAAAAAGAGGTCAGCCAGATTGTAAAAGGAGGAAGGATCCAGACTGTGTCACATTTTAAATATCTAGGAATAAGTACTGATTTATAGCTGACTTTTAAGAGGCATGTGAAGCAGGTGTGCAAAACTGTAAAATTCAATTTAAGGAACTTTAGGTTTATTCGAAACCAACTCCCCTTAGATGCGGCAAAAATATACATGCATTCAATGATTTTTTCACATATTTCATACTGCATTACAAGCTGGTCATAAGCTGGAAAACAACACTAGCTCCACTGCAAAGACTTTACAAACAAACACTCAAGGTACTGGACAAAAAAAATATTTTTTATTTAATCTAAATCTATCACCACTGTGACATCATTATTTTTTTTATTTTTTTCCTTTCATTTTTTTCCCCTTTTTTCCCCCCTTTTTTCTCACTCTCACTGTGACATCATTCAAAGCAACACATTCTCACTCTGACCTCGTCACATATTGACATTTGGCCATGGACTTTCCACGTCCTCATGCAACGTGCAAGGTACCCTGGGTGCGTTTGTTGTTGACGTTCTGGGACACTGTGTCAAGCTCTGCCTGTTACATGCATTGTCTTCTTTCAAAATACACTTCTGTTTTCAGAGTAAATTTAACGTTTACATACAGTCTCTTTCAAAATAAAAGTACTTTGTCAGCACAACACCGCAATTTTTTTCCTTCAACAACTAATGCTTGTAGTTGGGTTTAGGTAACAAAAACACGTAGTTAGGTTTAGGAAAAAAATAACAGGGTTTAGCTTTAGAATCTTACAGGACAAAAACACCACTCTCCCGGGTGAAAGTCTGTGTTTGTTACACCCATCCACCACCCTTCCCACCTGCCCCATTTGGACTTTCGCCACCTTAACTTTTGTCCTTGTCCCACCGTGTTTCTCCCTGACACTGCTGGACCAAGGCAAAACGAAACTATAACGGCAACCTGCCACGTATCATGCTGACAATAAAGGATGGCTTTTTTCCTTGCTGGATTTCGATGACTTCGGAGTGAGACCAAGCTCTTCAAAGGCATAACCTACTGACCTTTGACAGCTTTTGGTGCCTTGCTGATGCCAGTCTAGTGTACAAAGTGATTAATGATCTGGCTGCTCCTCCATTAAAAGAGTTCATACAACTGCGCTCAGACAATGGGAGGACATCTATGGATGACCAACAGAGGCGACTGTGCAGTTTGGTGAATCAGTCTTCGGTCTTTGTTAGAGCTACAGACTATTGGAACTCAGTACCAAGTGAGATAAGACTTTGCTGGTTTTAAATTCAGGATAAAATCACGGCTAAATGAACTGAAACACTTGATATAACAATATGAAATCTTCATGCAAGTTCTATTGTTGTTGCTGTTTTTATTGTTGCGATGACCTGATGGTGTGTTGTCTTGCTATTGTTATTGCTGAAGCCATTGTGTCATGAACATGTTCTATTTTGTAACTGTGTTTTTTTATATAATAGTGTCTTTTAGCAGAGGAGTTATTTTCTGTTTCCTGCCCAGGGACTACAGATAAAAAGTAGCGGTGCATTGTCCCTGTTAAATAAATAAAATAAATGAATAATAATCAAATAATTAAGTGTTTGTAAGTAGGCTAAATTCTAAAAGAGATAAATGCCTCATCATCATAAAGTTGGGTTAATGTGTAGTGTTTAAGACAATATAAAGGTCTATGCTGTTAAAGTGTTGCTGACTGATAACTTTTATTATCTTTAAACAAGACAAGTCTCCTATATTTTAGGTTACACATAGTTATGCAACAGCAGGAACTCAAGTAGTTCATCTCAGTGCACACACACGGTGCATTTGACTAAGTGGTTGTTATGGCAGGCGTGGGCGTGTACCCAAGCCTCTCCAAAGCTCTCTACCTTTGATTCCGGGCGTTTAGACAGAGAAGTCGTTAGAGGAGCATCGTATCTGTCTGTGCGCTCCACAGATCGTCTCTACACAGCGCCGTGTGACTGGAGAGCAATTTGTTTTACGGGAAACCGCAGTTTCCTCTCACCCCGGTGTGCGTGCTACAGGTGTGATTTACGACGACACGCCATAAATATGAAAGGAAGCGCGCGACAAACATCCTCTGATCCGTTATTTGACGCGTGGACCGTATGAGATGAACTGCACGTGGACATCGACGCTCAAGTTAATGGATTTTTACTCGGTGCTGGAGGGAGATTAATTTGACAAGTGCGCTGCATCCTCATCGGGCTATGATTCACTTTGGGAATATCTGACATAACAAGGATACTATCCATCCTCGCCGAAATGATGCTTTTCAAAATCTTGGCGTTAATTCTCTTACAGGGTACGTTTACTGTCGGCAACTAAACTACTCATTCATTTATTAACTTGGTCATCACTTTTTTTCCTAACATGTTTCTCTGCTACACAAGGTGCCTTCACGGTCACATCCGAGGTCAGCCCCGGTGGTCTCCCAGCCTCCAGCAGGGTGATTGGCACCGGGAGACCCGCGGGTTCACAGCTGTCTGAGGCAGCAGAGGGAAAGTCCAGGTCTAAGCGCTGTACCTGTTATTCCTACAAGGATAAAGAGTGCGTCTACTACTGCCACTTGGATATCATCTGGATCAACACTCCCGAGTAAGATATGCTCTGTTCACTTAAAACAAGAACATCTTTAATTCTCCTGTGATCCACCCGGACGTGCTACTATATTGTGCAAGCATCTCCGGGCTTGCACAATATCTTTTTTTTTTTTGTCAGTGGGGATTAGAAGCTGCTATTAAGAATATTTAAAACGCAGATTGGCATGTGGCTGGTTTGTCAATAAGCCAACACAGTGTAGCAAGTCACGCCCGGTAAATTCTTCCCTGGGGCGCCAGACGCAGTCACGGTTCAAGTGATGGCAAGCCCAGCACAATCTAACTCACTCTATAAGGTCACAGCCTAAAAACACATAGGTGGAGATTATTATTGCAACCTCTAATTATGTGTTTTAAACACACAAAAATGTTAATCTAATAGTAAGAAGAATAAGCATAAAGATAAAAAGGCTACAATCTGTGCTCCTGTGCCCCTGGCAAAACTGAATCAGAATGCGGAAATTAGGTTGCATTTGTGACAGCTTGATGTCTTAATCAGTGGTTCTTGCACCATGATCGAAAGACTTACTCCAGTTGCGCATGCTTCAAATGCACCGGTATTGTGTCTAAATCCATGGTTTATAATAAAAAACAATGTAATTATGAATGGTATATGTTAAAGGGTACTCAAAGGCACTTTTTACAGTAATAACCACAGTAACAAAGCAGTAAAAGCATTAACAGTTTAAAACCAACTAGCCTATAACAATGAAAAAAGGAAGGGGCGACTAATACTTCACAGATTATAGGATTTAAATAGACAGGTTTTGAGTGCGGTTTTGACAGGGGGGAGTGAGGGAGATGTCTGAGGAATGTCTGAGCATGGGCCGATTATGAGACAAGCCCCTGGGCATATGTAAAAGACCCCAACGCCTCTGCCACCATTCACAGGAGCACGGCATACAGACTTTGTGTCATTTTTTAGGGTATTTTTTGTATGTCTTTGTAGTTCCTTTGCATCTCTTTATTGAATCACTTCGTGGTCAGTATGTGTTTGAGTTGCATTTCGCAGGTGAAAGCCAGAAGGGCCCCTTGCACTTTGGGCCCCTCGACCTGTGCCTGGTCAGCCCATTCAGTAATCCATCCAAAGTCGAATCCTGTTTCTAAGCACTCACAAGTTTGAGGCAAACATGAACAAGAATCATTGATAACAGATGTAGCAACTGGATAACTTCTCTGTCATGAGCTGAGCAGTTAAAATACTAGAAGGATTAAGTTGTGACACTGAATCGACCGAGATCAGAGACATCTGGCTTACAAACCTAGTAGTCTAAAGGGGCTGATGAGGTCAGCGTTCACTTGGGCTGGATGTGTTTAGATGGAGTTTTAATGTGTTGTGGTGTGAATTTGTGTTAAACTGGATTGTTTTGTTGATGCTCTTTAGTCTGCTTTTAGACAAAACTGAAAGAATTCATTAAAAATAAATAAATAAATAACTCACAATTTAGATTAATTAGCTTTTTCTTTAGAGAGAGACAGAACTGGCCTGTGGCGTAAACAGCTTATGCTGTCGTGTATGTACAAACACTGAAGAGGGCAATATAATTAAGGCGTTATTGATAATTTTGTGCCCCTAACGCAGTCATGATCTGATCCCCAAAAGCCAGGGGCCTGTCCAGACGTACACCAACTGCACATCATGAGTTATTTATGTTAGCTCTGCAGGTGAAGAAAAGTAAACATGACCATTTGGAATAATCACAGTGTGCAGCCGCTTCTCACACTTGTGGCTAAGTGTGTTCAACATGTGGCCTAGCACACCGCAGATTAGTGACAATACTCTAACACATAATTTCCAACACATACTTGTTTGAAGGAATCTGTTTTTGCCACCTTGTAGCCGCATATTAAAACCACTGGCAAGACAGTAGGAAAGCATTCTTTCTTCCTCTTTCTTCCTGTGCCAACTCTGCTGTTGGCTGTTTAAACTAAACAGCGCACTTCATTATGGCTTAGCAAGTTGAGGCAAATTGACATAGTTTTAAGACTGAGTAGGATATTGAAAGTTACTGCAACATTGATATGAAAAAGGTAGGTGCGTTTTCAAATATATGCACTTATAGTGTCAGGAGCGCTGCACTGTGATAGAAGATAAACTCCCAGAATTGGCTCTTCCAGACTAAATTTTCATAAAATCTCAGCATGGAATTTCAAAGAGGGGGTATCATCTTTCAGTCATGTGAAGCCCCCCAAATGCTCCTGAGAAGCTGCTCCTTATTGGCTCACAACACTGTGGTTTAGCCTCTGTGTGTCCTTCTCTTTTGACTTCTCCCCAATACTACAATTATAATTAAAGTGCATTTACTCAGTTTGCCATATTGTTTAAAATGCAGGTTTCCAAGAAAAATTGCTCTCCTAGCCACTAGCTGATGTCAGCATTCCCCGATCCTGTTGTGATACACTGAGGCAGAACACTGATCCGCAGTTACTTCAAAATGAAAAGATATGAGTTTAAATGCCTTTCATCCTAAGGTCAAGCAGGTATACAGTCCTGTATAAACAGACCGCAGGATCAGGCAAACACATGGGAAACGGCAGGTACTCAATCATATGCAGGCAGCAGGCAGTCTGACATAATCTGGCAAATCTACGGGGGAACGTCATTTATATATTTACTGTCAGTATTTTATTTGTACTATGAAAACAGACTTGATGGATCAGGATAGTATTTTTGCCCTGGTAGGCAGACCTTTCTCTCTGCTATGCACAAATCTTGCTGGCATACTCTGATTGGTTTTAACATGCTCTCCTTCCTCTTTGGCCCTTGTAGCTCCCAAAGCCACAAACACCTTTGTATTTGTTCTCAAATCCACCACAGATTGTCGAAAACAGACAAGTGGAAAAATGAGAAAATGGAGAGCAGATAAGCAGTGGTCAGTCTTACACTAAGCACTAAAAGTGGTATCCAGATGTGGGGATTGGGTTTAGAGTCAGATATATACAGTCACAGATTCTCTGACTTTTGATTTGATCTATGGAAGATATATTTCAAGTTTATTATGCACTTTATGGCTGCCTTTGTTTTTTTCCATTTCCAGTACCCAGTGGTCACTTAACTTGAAACAAATGTTCACAGGCAAAATGTTTCATCAATAACAGAATGTAAAACAAGAGGCAGATTTAGTGAACACAAAAGTGTTTCTGGATAATAACACCAGCCTTAATGCAGATCCTTTAAATGTCTGAATGTGTGGCTTCTGAGACACCTTTTTGTAAGGTAACATTAAACAAAGAGAATGTCTGCATCATGAAATAGGCCATGTATCATGTGGGCTTTTCACTCAAATCTAAACTGCTATACAATGTGAACTTGTCAGTAGTCTCACTGTCTGGTGTCAAAATAAAATCTATATGACAACTGGATTCGAGGCTACAGAAGATTCATGTTTGAGCACTCTCTAAAAATATCACTATTAAAGGAAGAGTTCATGCCCAAAATTATCACATGTATATCAGTTACTCACACCATTTTACCTTTAACTTGCGAGGAAAACTTTTTTTTTTCCGCATGCCTTTTGGTGAACAAAGAATCCAAAAACAGAAAAAATTCTTGATGAACTGAAGTGAAAGGGGGCCACGTTTAACAACAGTGAAACTATAGCAAAACATCCGTTTATAAACTCTCACACAACTCGTCCAGTGCAGTCCAACTCTTGTACATCCAGTTGTATCCTCAGTACTTCCCAAACATGCATTTTTGCTAAAGTCATAATATGCAAAACACTTTTGCATACGTGAAAAAGCGCCTGGGCAAGCACATGCATTCAAACTTTGCTTTGCATTCCATTGAAATTCTGCCTCCCGGCTCGTTCATTGTTTAGGAGTTCTGTTGTCATTCACCCGAGCCTGTCGCATTCTGGCCAATGAATGAGCTGGGAAGCGGGATTTCAATGGAATGCAAGAGCAGAATTTAAATGCACGCGCTTGCCAAGGCGGACAACTCGTCCTGGCGCCAAACTGTTTTAGCAGAAGTGTTTTAAATAGTACGATAATTAAGCAAAAATGCATGTGTTTGGGAAGTACTGAGCATACATCTGTATAAATAAGACTTGGAATACACTGCACAAGTTCTTTGAGAGTTTGTAGATGGTTGTTTTGATGTAATTTTCGCTTCCATTTCATTAAGATTTCTTTCCGTTTTTGGGTTTCTTCTTATCCAGGTTTTCTTTACGATTTCAAGGTGACACAGCGTGAGTTACTGACATACAAATGATAATTTTAGGATAAAGTAATCCTTTAAATATTTGTTTTTGGGGTCTTTTTCTCAGTCCCCAAGAATGCGATTATCTAACATTTTTCTGAAAAACCTGGCTGTGTTTTTTTTATCTTCTCAGACGCACTGTGCCGTATGGAATGTCGAGCTACAGAGGACCTCAGCGAATCAGACGTGCTGTCGGTGGACAAGCAACTGAACGCGAGGGAGCAAGGACTCAGCGCTGCGTCTGCACTGTGCTTGACGCAGACCCTCAGTGCCATGACTTTTGCATGTCAAGGTCAGTCTGTAAAAATGACATTCATTGGATCCCTTTCAGCCTCCTTAGGTATATTTACATCAACACACTGATCTAAGTATAAGTGAGGAGTGAAATGAATTAACCCTCTTGAAAAGAGGGCTTCTTACAGTAAACAAACACTGAATTAGCTGTGTAATATTACGGCTTTAATGTGAAATGTTCTCTTCAAAGCACCCTGCAGACAGTGCCAATCAGGAGTCTCCACAGAGCGCCTGGTCCTGGATGACGGTTTGGTCCCTCTCCATGGTCCACTGTTCTCCTCGGGGGAATGGACCCTTCCCTCCTCTTTGCCCCCTTCATTTGCTGTTCCACACTCTTGCCTCCACAGGTAGCACACTGCCACATTCAAGGAAAAGACTCAGGAGTTTGACACCGCAGACATTCCTCAGCATTACAACTATTGGAGCAAGTTCCATCAGGCCGAGCAGTTTCAAGAACTCTTCAGAAAATCTGGTACAGAATCCTGGAGGCTATCCCCATTTTGTTCCCTCCTGAGAGCAGCATGAGGATTACTTCCATCCTGATATAGTAGCCAATGACCTTGCATCTGTCAAGCTTGATCAGACAAACCCTTTGTTTTCGCACCTGGTAGTGTTGAGGACTGCACTTGACTCTGTCTTTCAAATGAATGAGATAAGCTAATCTAAAGGGACCAACAAAAACATTTCTATGACAATGTTGGAAAACAAAAAGCCCAACGAGGAGCCTTGGAAAGTAGGAGCAGGCATGATATTGTGATGTTTTGCCTTAAAAAATATTGAAACATGCAAACGATTAAAGGGGAAAGCCACCTGTGTTATGGGGCATATTATTGAGCTTTGGTTTATGATCCTATTTCAGTCAGTCTGGAAAGCGTTCACACCCTCACGTCACTTCTATTAGCAATAATATATCCTGCTCTTTGCAGCTCAACTATCAGTCATATTTGTCGTGCTTTTACCTCAACACCGCCGACTAACACTGACTCTAGAAACTGTATGACAGCTTAAGCTGGAGTGATCTTTATATTAAACTATCTACTATTGAGTCTTTTTCCGTGGAAGTTAATTTCATGAGGCTATGCTACTAATAAAGTTAAAAATGAGTGATTGTGATCTTTGCTTCTGGGGCCACATGTTGCCTCCCACTGACCAGGAGTGGAGTTCTTCCAGTTTTTCTCTGCTGTGTCTCCATTACTCTATTCCCCTGTCCAGTTTTTCCAGCCCTGTCACCTTGAAATTGTTATTATAAACAACTAATTTGAAACAGTCAATATGGTTTTAGGGAAATGTAAATAAGTAACAAATTCAATTTTCTATTAACATAATTAAGAAATGTTGCTAATTAACGCACATGGCAAGTCGCAAAAAAGTTAATACTGGACCTAGCAGCAAAATGTTCACTAACAACCTATGTAATTTGTCTTAACAGCATGATACATGGAAAACGGAAGGTATTTTGAAAGAACGCAATGCATGTAACAGGCAGAACTTGACTCAGCGTCCCAGAACTTCAACAACCAACACACCCAGGGTACCTGTCATGTCATATCTGGAATGTGACGAGGTAGGCGTGAGAATGTGTTGCATTGATGCATGTAATGTAGAACCAAAGTTCCCCATTGCAAGCCTTAGGCCTAGGCTGCTGGCAACAGGTGCTAAGGTTAGCACATTGAGCGGATTGGCGTGTAAATCACACCATGGCAAGCACAAATAATACCGGAAGCTGTAAGACTTGCCTGTGGGTCCCAGTCAGCTACAGCAGCAACAGAGAGAGAGTTGTGAACAGGATGAGGATGGTGTTTTGGCGTTGCGTGACTGTTGTAGGGTCTGTGAATGGAAGCACATCCAAAATGCTAAAACACATTTGACAGCATCACCCAGATGTGCCGAACACTGGGATGAGGGAAAAAAAACAACCCTTAGCCCTATCCTTATCCCGGCTGCTTTCAAGCAGCCTTAAGATGCAAGAGCAGAATGGATTTAGGACAAAATACTGAAGCAGTTGGCATTTACACTGGCATATAGCCAAGATGTGACAAAGTTTAACACTACTCCTAATGCAGAACTTTTATTTTTCAATATTCTATTTATTTTGTATTTTTAAATTTCCAAGCATAAGAGATGGGAAAATGTGTGTACAGTTAGGAAATCACTAATGCGTATGGGAGCTGATAAAAAAAGGTAACATTAGGAAAAATTATGTGCTGGGTGCGCCTAAATGAAAACGTTAGGCACAACAATACAACCACTGTCAAGAGTTGGTCTGGAGACCTGCACTCATAGTGACTACAGCATTATCATTAAAATCAATCAGTCTTTCCCTGACCTTAACCAAAGTGCTTTTGTTGCCTTAACCTAACCACAGACAGGAGTCTAGATGCTAACCTGGGATGCTGGTGTCGCAGTCCTGCACTTTGTATGCCCGCCATCCACCCAAATCACCTCCCTCAAAATCCAGCATGGTACATTAATGTAGTGTTTCATTAATTCAAATTAACTACATGTCTTAACATAATCCAGGGAGCGGTTGCATTGTCATTGCAATGTAATTGTGAATGCAATGTAGTAATTTACAAACGTAATTTCTTGGAGACAGGGTTGGTTTGTTCAATAATTTGTATGACTAATACTAAGGTAACAATTTTTTACTTGTTTATATTATTAAAATGATTGCACCTTGCTAATTTTCAATCAACAGCAGCACGAATGCTTTTGTCACAAGAATACTACAGACAAGCTTTTGTGTTGTCTCTCTTTTATGTTGGGTATTGTTGTGTCTCTCTGCACCAAGATGTACCTAATCATGCGGTAAACTCTCTAGTAAACAATCAGGAATAATGAAAACAGTAAGTGGAGAAGTATTTGTTCATGCCTGTTGGGTTGTTGCCTTTGTAGTTACGGTGCACTGAGAGCATTCCCATGAAACAGGAGTTTAATGTGCGGAGACAATTCAAGAAAACACACTCTAAGTTTGGCACAACTTTCCAGTGTGCCCTGAAGCTTAGACTGGGATTACAATTTTTCTATATTTATAGGCTATTGATTTGCCCAATTTCTTGCCAAGAATGTATCATCACTTGAAAAAACATTCATTGTTGCTAAATAGATTAATAAAAACACGGCATAGAGAATTATAGCTGTTACCTTTTTGAGCATATGCTACAGCTTGGATCAAAATGTTGACATCAAACATGTATTTCCATTCTGACAGTTTCAGTGATGTTATGTGACATAGTCATTCTGGTACAATAAAAGTAATGACTTTCCAAAAACTGCATCATGGGTCACCTTGTGCACAAGACATATATGTTGACTTCATGTAACATGAGAAACGTGTCTATGATTCAAAGATTGTCTGCACTCTGCTCTCAACTTGGAGGTGGCTGAGCCGACAGCTAACAGCACTAATAGGGCAAACAACACTGACAGATGTTAACCAGGTAGATTTTGGGGGGTGGTACCGGACGGTGGGCACAAAGCTCACACAACATTGCCATCCTGTGTTGTATAGCACTGTGCAAAGCAGTGCTGATAGCTAACCAGTGGGATACACACATGAGACTCACATGCACTAACATGTGCTAACATCATAGACTGTAAAAATAGAAGTAGCTACAGTGACGTCACTCACTGGATTGTGGACACCTGTTATGAAGCATCGGGTTTGGTATTTCAGCCATCGCCATCTTGTTTATTTTTTTCTACCAGGTTGTAAACATGTTCATTTTTGTTTTCAGGCATTTTAATGTGAGTGTTCATGGGGATTAACCAAGCAGCAATCCTCAGGGGCTGAAAAATTAAGCCAACACAGAAGTGCAAGAACTGCAGTCTTTGAATGGCCACTTGAGGCTGGCTCCAGAGGCCAGTCAATTCTCATAGACCCCCATGTTAAAATGCCCAGCTTTACAGCAGAAATAAACATGTTTACAGCCTGGTACAAAAAAATGGTTTTGGTTTCTATAGCTGATTTTCCTTTTCATGATAACTGGAGATAAACTCGCCTGATTACATTTTATTAAGGCGTAAAGCTATCTTACTATATAATGAAGAAAACTCTGTGTGTCTGTGTGTCTGTTCCACATTTTTCTCCTGACTGACTTGGTCAATCCATGTGAAATTTGGCACAGTGGTAGAGGGTCATGGGAGGATGCGAATGAAGCAATATTACATCAATTGGCCAAAGGGGGGCGCTATAGCAACCGATTGAAATTGCAAACTTTGAATGGGCATATCTCATGTCGTAGAGACATGAAACTTTGCACAGAGATGCCTCTCCTCATGAGGAACACATTTGCCTCAAGAACCCATAACTTCCACTTATATAGATTTTCTGCCATTTTGTATTTTCTGAAAAACACTATCCATCTCTTCCTAGGAAGTTTGACCGATCTGCATGAAACTCGGTGAACATAATCTAGGGACCAATATCTAAAGTTCCCTCTTGGCAAAAGTTGGAAAACTTACTAAAACTGAGCTTCTATAAGGCAATGAATATTGCGGAGGGCGTGGCTCATCACATAAAGGTGTATAACATCTCAAGGGTTTCACCGATCACCACGCAACTTTGTAGGCATATGACCACACATAATCTGAGGGGACCCCTCCATTATTGACCCCATCAAACAAAATGGGGGTGCTAGAGAGCTAATTTCTTATCCAGGCCTAACCGCCATATCGATTTTTACTAAACTTGGTAGATATGTAGAACAGGACGCCTCAAGGTGACTGGAGAAATTTAACTCTAATTGACAACTGGGTGGCGCTATAACAACAGAAAAATGCTTAAAAATGGCTAAAATGTGACTGATCGCTGTGGCTCCCCCTGTGGCCCAATGTTTGTTTGTTTTTTCTAATTTTTGGTATGACTAAGTCATGGTATGGTATGCTGTACATAATCACGGAAACTGTCAGTCAGTCATTCTGTCTGTCCCACGTTTTTCTACTCACTGACGTGGTCAATCTATGTGAAACTGTACATAGGCCGCTTTGAGTGACAGGCTGATAGTGTCCTCGGTTTCTCAGTCAGCTCCACCCCTCCCTCCTCCACAGCACCAGCCTCTTACCCAAATATGGTCACTTCTTGCTCAAAAAACAAAATGGTGACTGCCAAAGTATCAAACTTGAGGCTTCAATTATTTTTTACAGTCTATGGGATTGACTGGCTTCAGTGGCCATTCAATACTAACCTTTTGCTGCAGAGCATTAACCAGTCTGTGTTGTCTCCATGGTTATACGGATGATTTCACTCTCACACATGAGCTCTTATTCAAGAATGGCACTGAAGCTTTCACTAAAAATAGATACAAACAAATGTGGTTACTTTTTACACTAACTATAAAGTAAATCTATTTAATGTTTATTGTCACTTGTGTAATTGTACTAAGTTAGATAACATGAAAATAAGCATTAGTTCCTTCTGTGTTGGGAACATATTTGCCCATAGCCATCTGTTGTAAGCCAGACTCCATGCAGAGAAAATAAGTACTCAAACCTAGCATTGTAAAATACTTAAGTGGGAATATTTGAGTGTCTTAAGTCTTAGGGGGGAATGTGGTCTAATGTGGGGAGGAGCACAGCTGGATAGCCTGGAGTTTTATTGTCTGTCTGGCGCGTGGAAGGTCAACTGCTGTGCTTTAACCCTCGTTTTGCCAAAGTTGCTTACTCATGGAGTATTCATGTGTGCTGAATTGAATTTATGGTTCACTCTAGACTTGCCCCGCTAACAATGACTGATATAAACTAACACCACATGCAGCTGTAAACATGCTCTCAATTCTCAGTGCTGTCTGTGGTGTCATTCCATATTTTATCTGTGGGCCAGTCCATTGCACAGTATCTCATACATTTTGAATGTCATGCTTTAAACTGCAAGACAAAATTGAGCAGCTGTACCTGCATCAGCTGTACCTTCTCACAGTGCACACATGATTTTTTTTAGCTTGATACAGGTGAGAAATACAAAAAGCAACTCTGTACAAAAGTATTAAATAATGAAATGTACAGTATAGAAATGGCAAGCAGCTGTGGTTGTGATGATTTTCCTGTTATTGGGAGATCACAAGTTAAATATCTCAAGATAAGAATGTTTTTTCATGATAACAGCGTCATTTTCTTGTTATCTGGAGGAAAGAAAATATAATTTTCTTGTGGTAATGGGTTAGTTTTCTTGATAACTGGAGGAAATGTCTTTTTGTTTGCACAAGAGAGACAGAGAAAATGAACCAGTTATTACAAGAAAGCCACTTTGTTATCGCAAGATAGCGAGGTAGTTTTTCTTCAGATAACAGGATTTTTTAAAACAGAATTGTAACGCTAACTAATGTTTTTTGTCTTTGTTGTTCTTCATAATAAATTATATATATTTTGTTGTAAAGTAGAGAATATATTGCAAGTCACTGCATTTCTGCCACATAAACACCTTCCCCCTTATAAGACAGAACGTGAGACCAACCTGACCCTTTGAGGCCCTAATACCACCTATCATCCTGGAATTTCACGCTGAGTCTTCCCTAAATAAGCCTACCCTGGAGCCTCAGCATGAACCTTCTGCAGTGAGCACTAATAATAATGCTCAGAGAGAAAGACCCCATTCCCACAGAATACCCTGGGAAATACTTGTAGACATCCTGGTCACGTAACGGCAGGTTCAGGGCCCCTAGCGTGGCTTACAGTTTGTTGTTTGTATTCTGCTTCATTAGATGAGCAGACCTTTTGTGCCATGCAGTGAACTTTTGCTGGTTACACACAGCTGAAAGCATCTGCTCCAACCACACAAACATTTCCAGACACAGTAATATCATGTTAATATTTTGCATAGTGTGTATTCTGGTTCTAGGTTTGGGTATAAAACATGTAGATAATCCATTAAAAAGGCACTGTTATGCTTGATTTGGTGCATAAAGCAGATAACAATTGTAAAAATAATCTAGTCTACACACAGTAATATTATGTTGCTCAAATACCTGATAACCTGATAGGGTGTGTCTTCATCATAATATTTGCAATAATTTTGTAGTAATGATTTTATTAACAGGATATATGTAATTAGGATGTAATGATGCACTGAAGTCTCTGATGTTATGGTGAGAACATAACAGCATTCGAGCTTGTTTTTAATTTATGATGTGCATGAAAAACAATGATGTTGTGTTTAAACACTAAATAACGCACAAAGTATCAGATCCTTTTCCTGCTTCGTTGCTTTCCCAGAATGAGTGTAAAGCCACTTCCTTTCCTACAGTATGAATTCACACGTATGTGCTGCTTTCCTTTCGTACTTTGATGTTTTTCAAGATGTCCTTCAGTGGACTGAGACTCCAACTTGATGTTAAAGAGTCTGCGGTCTGCACATTTACAGCCAAAGTGTAGCCCAGTGGTGATAAACCCTGTCGAACTGTGTGATTTAGGACAAACAGGGCCACTAAATTTGAGCCGATATGGATTATTAAAAAATGCGTGAGTTAAACATTTTAAGATGTGGTTGGAGTGATACACACACTATATCGCTCTGCAGGGAGTAGACCATAGAATTTGTGTAGAGGTCTAGAAACTGTCAATGTACACGACTGGAAGGTTGAGGCATTGTCCATTTAAACCTTACAACCGCTATTTATCAGCTATAAAAAAAAAAGGTCCCGCAATTGATGTGTGAGTTTTCAAATTCTACGGTTTTCAAATAAGTGTATCGTCTGATTTTTTTTAAATAATCTAATTTGAAGTTTGTCGATTTAGCATGACAATCACAACCTATGTCCTCCGGACAACATAACAAACAAACTAAATTTCAATGTAAAGACGCATCTCACAAAAACAGCGAACCAATAAAAAAAAACAGATCTATTTTGTGACTCTCTTGTCACTTAGATATTGCAACATTGCACCTGGACATTACTATTGGCTTACAATGGAGCCAGTTCAGAGATTAGAGTGAGTCCACAGTTGAGTAACGTTTCTATATGTTCACTGAAAGGCTGCCAAACCTTTAAAAGTGCATTATATCTGTTTTCCAGGACACAGGTGATCTTCTCTAGAGGCATACAAACCATCATTTCTGATGTCCACTTTGATATAGAGAGGGGCGAATCTGACCTCCAGGTTAATGCAATACACTTCCTGGAAACAGCAAGAGCTCAATCGATAAATTTCCTGTAGCTTTGATTTAGTTTCAGATTTGTAACATTTCCTAGGTGAAAATGTCCTGGATCTGTGAATCGTCTGTTTGGTAAAAAGCAGGTGGATCAGTTAAAAAG